TGGGGATAACAATTGCACTTACCTCAAGGGTTATTGTGAAGATCAAATAAGATAAAGCACTTTGCAAACCTCAAAATGTACTACAAACATTAGTGAATATCATTATTTTATCTTTGGTAACATCAAACTTACCAGCATATGGCTTGTGAATCCATTCTCTTCTCTTTTTAGTTTTAAAAACAAGGTAGAACAATATTTACCTTTCTCCCATCCTGTAGAATCTCTCCTGCTTCCCATGATCTTTTAAATGTCACTGACATTGGTTCAGCAATCACTCCTGCCTGCTCTTTCAGAAATTCATGCGGGCCTAGTGGCTTGGACTCATCCAGAGCACCTAGGCCCTCTGGCTGGTTCCTTACTTATCCTGAACATCAGCTTCCAATCAGCCATTCCCCGTGGAACTCCTTCCAATCCAAAAGTCATTGTCCTTAGCAAAATAAACAGACTTACAAGAAGAACTAAGCAGCAAAATGAGAAAACTAATCCCATGGTAAATAAAAAAAAAAAGGCCCAGTATAGAAACTTGGTTGACATCACAGTATTGCTGAAGGCTGGACCTGTTTGATGAGCTAGAAGAAAAGACCAGGGCAGGCAGAAAGAATTTCTGTGGTGGAGAGGGGATGGGAGGATGGTGACAGTCCTTGCTTAGGTGATGGAGCTTGGGGCTTCCTTCTTGGGGGTAGGAATAATAATGATAATGGTAATAATAAGTAGTATTTACATAATACTTTAAGATTTGCAAAGCACTTTACAAATGTTATCTCATTTGGGTTTTACAACAACCCTGTGAGGTAAGTGCTATCTCCCCACTTTACAGATGAGGAAACTGAGGCTAAGAGAGATTCAGTGACTTGCCAAAGGTCACACAACTTGTAAATGTCTGTGGCAGGACTTGAACTCAACTTTTCCAGACCCCAAATCCCACACTCCATCCATCATACCACCTAGCTAAGGCCTATGTCCAATCATCAATCTGGCATTGGTTATTCAGAAAGTTGGCCACTGAAGGTCAAGTGCCATCTTGCTCTGAGATTGGGACATTGCCCAAATGACTTCTGGATGTTTAAGCTCCAGGAAATAGCCACTGTGGGCCCTACTCTCCCATTATGGAGAGTCAGTCAGTCAACAAGCATTTATTAAGTACTTACTATGTACCAATCACTGTGCTAAGTACTAGAGATACAAAGAAAGGCATAAATTTTATCCCTGCCCTCAAGGAACTCCTATTTTAGTAGGGGAGACAACATATAAATCACCAGGTACATCTAAGATAAATACAGAGCAGAGAAGGGTAGTGTGAAAGGGGAAGACATTCATGAAACCATCTCCCTAGCAGAAAGGCAGGGCTGGACAGCTCCTCCAAAGATAATCAAACACTCTATGGAACTTTGTAAGCAGGTGACCTCTTCAATCTCAGACTCAAGCCCAAGAAGCCCATCATAGCTTAAGGTCTAGAAAAGGCCAGTAGAGGTCATTCTATCATTGCCTCCATCTCTAACAAAGATGGTGCTAAAACACTAGGAAGTGTCAGATGAGGGTGAGGGAGAGGGGAAGAAGAGGCTGGTAGAGAAGATAAGAAGAGTTAGTATCACTTCCTTCTTATTAATTTAGCCCCTAGGGACCAGGAGGAGTTTTTCTGTGGGCTATCCTCTGCTCCAAGGAAAGGTCCCTAAGTTGAGGGTAAATTGTGTTGGGCATGAGTTACTCCAAAAATCCAGCTTAGCTCTGGTCCTTCACAGAATGACTAACTGTCCTCCACAGTTTGCCCACAGTCCCAGAAGGGACTTTGTTGAGCCTGTCCAGGGATTGTCCTTGGACACGTCACTAAGTTAACTGGAATTTCCTCTCTCCCACTCCCTTTGGGTGGAGGGAGAGGAAGCATCCACTTACTTAAGTGATTACATAAAACTTAGGCAAAAGTAATGAAGCCTCCAAGCTTTCAGGCGACTCTCATTGACTTACAGTGAGGCCAGGATTATAGAACAGGTGAGTGAGCTCAATCTGGTGTGCCCCACTGGGCAAATCCAAAATCAGTATGGGGATGTCCTGGGATAGCAGTCACTATTCTCTCGGAGGCATGAGAACTAGTTCTTTTGGCCTCAGTGAACATCTTTCTGGTATAATAGAAAGAACAAGGGATGAAGAATCACTTAATTACCTTTGCTTTCACTTACCACCTTGGGCAGGTCACTTAATATCCCAGGGCCTCAGTTTCCTCATCTGTAAAATGAGGGAGTTGCACTAGCTTGCCTCAAAGGTCCCTTCCAGCTCCAGACTTGTGATCCTATAGGATCATGGACCAAGCCAGGCCTTGGGAACCATAGTTTGATAGAATACCTTAGAGGTGTTAGTTACCACCTCTATCCTCCCTGCCAAACACACACACACACACACACACACACACACACACACACACACACACA